TAAGAAGAAAAGAACGACTGAATGTTAGAGAGTATACAAGAGAACAAATATTAATAAGGAGAGTGAACGATAAATGAGCAAAAATTAAGAAAACAGATTATAACGATTGACATTGATTTAAATTTTTGAAGATGACTGGTAAGCAAGAAGCCAGAAGAGAATTCCACAAGCGAGAAGTGCGAGAGAAGAAACTGTTCGAATAGAACTTACGGTTGAATTTAGCCATTTTATTATTTAAACCTCCACTATGACAATTTTCTGATCAGGTTTGAAATTAAGGTTTTTCTTAATTTCATATAATATCAGCATTCGTATCAACTTTGTTGTTTTTGAAGCCCAAAGATGAAATCCATTCATTAATCCCTATATGAAAACACACAGAAATTAGCAACTAATAAGTAGTCCACGATTGTAAATAAAATTCGAAACAACATAGACAATGGAGATCTACACACGCATACACACACGCGCGCAGAATTGAAGAATTTTTTAATTTTGGCCACATTCTTGTACTGGATAAAGGGCCTCTTTCATTTTTCTAAATAGTCTCTGGGAGATTCCTGAGTCTCGGTATTCCTTCCTTTGTCATTTTGACAGTTTTATTGATTGAGAATGAGATGTGTGTGTTAAGTTTTTGGAGAGTTTGTCTGATGTTTGTATTTACATATATTTATGTGAGTGTGTGCATATGTGTGAAACCTCGATATCTCTTCAAACTTGTCCATTTAGTGTGGGTGAGAAATGAGAATGAGGCTTGATTTATGGAATTATATATTAATTCTGTGTTGCATAATTTGTGGTAAAGTCAGTCTGGAAAAATCCATTTGTCATTATATTCCTCTAATATTTGTTTAAGGTTATCTTTTCTGTCTATTTCTATTTTTTTCAATTATAGTGAATTTTGCATGGCTTTTAAAATCATGTTTTTCTAGGCAGAAATGTTGCTCTAAAGGTAATAATCTTCCATGGGGATGATGGGCATAAGAGTAAGACTAATCAAAACAGATAACTGAAATTTTTTAATGCTCGACAAACGTACATATGAATTTTAGATTAAAATAAAATTATTTTCATTTTTCATTCAAAATACTCTATTTTAGGAATACGTTTTCACAACATCGGGTGCTATATTTATAGGATAAAGTGGTCAATATCAGAGATAGAGCGTATGTAAATATAAATATAAAAGTGAACATTGAAGTCAACACGGTCTGACAATTGCGTCTAGCATGAAACAGCCTGTTGCCTCTGTGTGTTGACTTCAATTTTAACTTGTATATATATATATAATTTTATCAAAAATTGAGGAATTCAACGTGATAATTTTTACTGACAACATTAGATTAAAGCAGAATTATTTGAATAATTTAAATCACCGAATTGTTTTTGCAATGACTGTTCTGAATTGAAAAATAACAAACGCAATAAAACTAAGACATCATTTAATTAGAGAAGCTTTTATGAATAATATACATTAAAGAAAATATTGTTTGTAAAATTTCCGACGAAAATGAATTTTTAAATGATTTGTTTTCATTTTTTTACAATTTTAAATTGAATAATTTATAAAGATTTTATTTTTTTTAATTTCGATTTGAATGTGTTTATTCTTGGTAAATATTTTATTAAGTAAAAAAAAAAACATATTTAATAATCTTATATTGTAATGCTTATAATCTGATGACCGTCAATATTTGTAAAAGAATTTCGATTTGTTTTTGTATGTGTGTTTAAGTGCAGAATTTCAGTAGTATAAATCTACAAACCAATGAATCGATTATTTAAAGGTCACGTGATTTAAGGGGTTCCCCTCTTATAAATTTTATCGTCTGCTACACTATATTAAACTATTAATACGTTCGGCTGTCAATCGGGTGTCAATAAATCGATTAACACAACATACACAAAAACATACTCTGTAGTCAAGAAATGTTTGTATACATTTTATGATATAAGTAATATGTGTTTCAAATCAGATTAATTTAACTTTAAATTTGGTAATTTTCCTCAAATAACTTTTCAGAAATATATATTTTATTTTTGCAAGAATTTTAAAACCGTGAATTAACTTTTGTTTACAAATGTGTCAAATATGCCCGTTTTCATCGATTTTACTGAACAGAAATCGGCTTCAATCAATGTAATTTCCGTTTAAATCCATTAGCTTTCTATTAAACTAAAATGAAAGCATCAAGAAAGCTGTTTTCATTTTTTAAAATTAATTTTAAACATTATGTATGCCGACTTACTTGAGGTACCGATACATACATATATATATATATATATATATATATATATATATATATATTTATGTATGTATATGTGTTTGTGCGTGAGTATGAATGTAGGCAAGTTCCACTGAAAGAAAGGAAAACAAGTAACTTGTAAATGTTTACATATGTTTAAAAGAAAGTTTGCCCGAATATACGTAAATATATATATAATGCGTGTGTGTGTTTGTGCATATATGTGCATGCATATATGTTTTTTATTTGCATGTATATGTGTACATTTACATATATGTGTGGATATATGTATACATGAGTGTATGTATATGTGTATGTGTATGCATTGTATATATGTGTTTGCTTATGTGCTTGTATCGATGTGTACGTTTGCGTATGTTTTTTGTTATGTATATACCACATATACTTATGAAAATGAATTAGATATAATGAATTTAAGGTATTTTATATATTATTGTATTTGTTTTTCACTATATATATAGGATAATGATTGTTATTATATTTATGTAGATTAGACGATGAGGATATAAATTTTGATTTAAATTCAATGTATTTCACTAGTTGTTACTTGTATACTTGTAAGTTGTTACTCCGACTAATCTATACTGATTGTGCTAAAACCTGGTTTCTCCTTTTTCTTTCCCCCTCCGTTCCCCCTTAAACAATTGAAATCCTCAGGTAATTTTTTTTAGTTCATATAATTTATTTATTTACTTCTCTCTTGTGATTTAATTTTAAAATAATTTTTAATTGTTTGGATAAATTTAAACTATTTTGTAATGAGGCAAATATTAAAAAAACTTAACTGTTGAAACAAATTTATTAACGAATTCTTCGATGATGTGATAATTTTTATATATATATATATATATATATATATATATATATTATTTCACAAGTTATTATAGTGGTTACTTATATTGGAATAGCCGCCCAATTTATTTTTATTTAAAGCAATGCGTATTACTATTACGTCTATTAGGCTGCATACTTGAGAAATCTTAATAAATAAAATGCGCTCTCCGGCAGGAATCGAACCTACAATTTCTCTTTGTAAAAGAAACTACCGCTCGGCTAAGAAGAGCACCACTTTCAAGGGTTAAGAGATTCACAACACATCCTCTTTACCAAGATTATTTTTCTCAAAAGCCCATATCTGCTCAGTTTCATATCCGAAACATAAGCAAAGCAATTTCTAAAGTAAGACTGAAGAAATGAAAAATTCTAAAGAAAAATTGAAATTGATGTTTTAAGATGCTCGAATTGTAAAAAAAAAAAAATTTTTTTTTTTTTTCGAAAAAAATTATCGTTGAGTATTTTTAAAGCATTAATAAGTTGCGATGCGTAAATTGTCGCCATTTTATATTTTTAATTTTGCACATGCGCGTTGTTTGTTTTGATTTTGTCGACTTCAGACTATAGTAGGGACAGTTGGCCAACGTCTGTAAGAAAAAAAAAAGCACAATGGCGTAATTTTCTAAACCAAAAATTGGGAAAAGGTATGCTGCACTACTTGGCATTCACACCGGAAGCTGCAATACGAACATTTCAGAGTTTTTTGGTTTCAATCTGAGGACAGTGCAGAGGATCCGGAAAGAGTACGGATGATCTTTCTGATCAGAAACAAATTTCCGAATTTGTTAGAGAGGGCCACAGTCACCATACGCAGAACTACATGAAGTGACTTGAGGAGGTAGTGTTGCCCTAAATCAAGACGGTGGCTTCTGGAAGACCCTATGTCTGGTAACAAGACTGCGTCATGCCACACAAGAAGGAAAACCTAGTCATGGCTGTCAACCAATTTCTGCGACCACGTCATCCATTACATCTGGCCACCGAAAATCCTAATATTGTAGCCTCTTTGATTATAATGTGTGTGGCGCAGTTGAGCGAGAGACCAAAATATCTCCTTGTAACACTAATGTTGAAATGGAGGCAAGGATTATGGCAACATTCAACAACTTAATCAAGGAGACCGTCCAGATGAGTTTCAAGGTATTCCGAAGTCATCTGGAGGCCGTGGTTGAAGCCAATGGCAATTGCATGGAATAAATTTACACTTTAGTATATCAATATATTTTTGTGTAATTTTGCTAAAATTGGGATGCGAAAGTATTTTTCATTTTTAAATCGGACGACAATTCATCCATCATACCCTATATATATATATATATATATATATATATATATATATATATATGTATATGTATATATATATGTGTGTGTGTGTGTGTGTGTGTGTGTTAAACATGAATTGAAGTTAAAATGTCCCTTGTGAAATCTGCTGTATCACCGCATGGTGCTTGAAACGTAAGTAACGCCAATGAAAACATATGAACAACTGTCAATTCTATTTGATATTAAATTCTAGATGTCATAATGCATTAATTTCCGTTCTATCTTGATGCATACTACCTTTCACGACTCAATCAAGTACATGTCATTTATTTTGCAACTGAAGAGCTTTAATTACAGTGTCCTTAATATTTTTTCCCAAGCTTCATTATTTGCTTGAGATGACTGACGCACCATTCAGCACATCTGATACAATTTAGTACTTTATTCTAATTAATACTTTTATTGCTGTTATTAATTTTTTTTTTCTACGCCGTTCCCGTTTCGAATATCCTTCTTTTAGCGTCGCCATTGTTCTGCTGATGTTGAGAAGTTATTTTATTTATTTCTCTTTTCATGCTGAATATTCTATTTGTTGAAAGATACTGGCGAGAACGCAAGCAAAAATATAGCATCTCACTATATGCCCCAACAGAGAAGTTCGACAAGGATTAGGTCATGCAGACGAATATAAAAATGGATGCTGAAAGTAAATCCTGCTTTCGATGTTACCTGCAAATATATAATTGCATAAAGTAAATAATAATAATGAATTCAATATACATATATTTATATATATATATATATATATATATATATATATATATATATATGTGTGTGTGTGTGTGTGTGTGTGTGTGTGTGTGTGTGTGTGTGTGTGTGTTATAAAACACAATTTGCCATTATATAATATTACTCACACAGCTTGATAGCTCGTATTTCGTAATGAAATATTCTGTTGTTTTGCTAATGGCAGACAATACTCAACGCTAATAAGCGAACATGACCAGTGTTAACATAACAAAGGGGTATCTTATTAAAATTGCTTTTTATTAGTTTTTTTCATGTTCGCCAACTTTATATATTTATTTTTATTATGAAGAAAACGAAAGACAGGATAAAAAGAAAGAGGTTGGGACAAGTTGTATTAAACAAAACAGAGGCGAAATACAATAATAATAATAATAATAATAATAATAATAATAATAATAATAATAGATCTTGATGTTGTCACAATGATTAAAGAACTGGAACAAGAAAAACGCTATAAAGACATAAGTATCAGCGAAGTAGATGAAATACAGTATGCGCAAATGAAGGAGAAATTAAGAAAAGAATACTACAAGAGGGTGCGTCTGGTGTTAAATTCTTTCTTTCTTTTTATGTGCCTTATCCTTTCAGGCTATCAGGGCTCTCCACCTCCCTCTATCTCTTACAGCTCTCAACAAGTTCCTTCCCTCTTCCTCCTCCCTTCAGACTTCTTCCTCCTTCATACACTTGCTTAAGTACGACAGGTATGTCACGCGTTGTTTTCCCTTGTCTCTCTTTCCCTCTATTCGACCCGTGAGTATCAGATATTCCAGGCCCTCCTTCCTCATTATGTATCCCAGAAATTTCAGATGCCTCTTCCTGTATTAAGCATAAGATTTTTATGGGACTTACAATACACACCGACAGAAAAATCAAAACTAATCATCCTGGCATCGTGATTAGAGACTGCACCGACAGAATATGGCAGTCTCTGCAGACTTCAAAGCATTTTTGAAGATCTTCAAACAACTGGCAAAATACAAGGACCTTGAAATCCAAATCTCAAAAATGTGGTGCATGAGGACAATAACAATTTCATTTCCAGTTGGAGCCCTCGGATGGATAAGACTCCAATAAACACATTGAAAAAATCCTTGGTAGTCCATACCTTAAAGAAATACAAAATATTGCACTTACAAGTACAGCCCACACATTACGAAGGGCTTTAGCTATGTAAAACTATGTATATGTGCAACTTTTTCTTTCAAAACTGCTTAGTGGATAATTTCATAATGCCATTTCTGATCTTGGGTTTCTATTCGGGACCCGGAAAAAATGAGTATACCCCAGAAACCAAAGGAAATTTAAAAAAAAAATAATTATAATGGTTAACAATTTAAAACGCCGAGAAAAAACACTGATAAGGCTCAACAAGTAAGGTTGCTCATATAGATAAACGCAAGACCCATCAACAGTTAAAACAGAGAGGGAGACAATTATAATGACTTGCACATGATCAAACCCTATTCTCTCGGAAGTACCAGGCAAGCATGAAAACTTGTGCAGTCACAATTTATAGGTTATACGAACGTTTGTCCACTTAATGTGCAGTCACCCAATCGTGACACCGATGGAATACAATGATAGACGTTATGAGATTGGAAACTATATTTACTGTAGGATATGTGTGCACTACAGTGCACCACTGGATGAAAGAGTTACGATACGACGCGATGTAGGGAATGAAAGCAATTTTGTTTTTTATAATGACAAAAGTATTAGAGTTTTATGAAATATTATATATTGTCATTCCAGAGAAAAATCGGATATAAGTTTCAAGAAAATATGAAGACATATTTAGAAAACTATGACATGGATTGTGATGGTTAACGTCGTGCCTATATTCAGTGGAGTACTCAGTGAGTTGGCAAAGGTTAGAAGCTTTGAAAATCACAGAACAATATAAAACAATGTATGCCATGGAACCTTTGAGAGACCAAGAATAAAGAGTAGTGATAGAATTAGGGATATTTCTTTCTTCAAGACCAGAAATGATAACCTGAAGTCTTTTGTTTGAGAATAAAAGAAATAAGCAAAAGAAGACGTAATAATCTTAATTTAAAATACGCCTATTTTGTCTGTAATATTGGTGATTTTTGTTGTTGTTGTTGTTGTTGTTGTTGTTGTGCTATCTCTCGTGCACTGGCGAAATTTCATTTTAATGGCAACTGCGAGATGTTAGCAGCTGTTAACGACACCGGGGTGGGGGGGTTTTGGGTAAAATGAGATATTCCATGAAAGAAACGAATGCAATGTTCATTAGAAAAGTATTTTTAAGAGGAGATCATTTTTGTGGCTCATATAAATAAACGAAATAGTAGATAAGAAATGTAGAGAATTTCTGGTACGTTAAGAATTCAAAAGAAAGAAAATGAAAAAATATAAAAATTTAAAAGAAGAAAATAAATCAAAAAACAAACAAATAATGTTCTTTTCCTGTGAGCCCTGTGTGTAACCCTGTGTGTAACCCTGTGTGTAACTTAAAATTCGTCTGAATGGTAAACGCGTCTTGACTTTCGAGCTATGGTGGACGGACGATAAGAATTATAGTTATACAGGTCAAATAATAAATGCATTAATTGCTATCAAAATGCAATCAGATAATTCAAAGTTATCTACTTACAGTTTCGTATTGTAATATTCTGTGAAAATTTGATGTCGGTTGTTGACGTACGGCTGTCTGTAAAAGAAAAAGTAATTCCTTTGAAAAGTATAGATCTTAAATCAGTTTATCTGCTTGTAAAGAATATAGCGCTTCCAATAGAGATCGAACTATTTTCATTACTGTAATATGTTATTTGCTAAGCTTTGTGGACGTCCGCAAAAATCTACAAGTTTTAACTCTTGATAACGGAACTCAGTTTACAAGCATAAGGATCTAGTATATAATCTTTTAAACAATCATTCGGAGTTTTCACTTCTAAGAATATAATAGTTAAGGTTTGTTTAGGATAACATCAAAAGCATCGGTCAGCCACTAAGGATCAATTCTTTACATAGTATTAATGGTTTACTGCAATGATCAGGGTGCTAATATCAACCTATTGATCATTGGAGAACAGTGTGAAGCTGTCTGCGTGATAGATACTTTTCAACAAGCAATAATTGTTGATGAAAAGGAGAGGAACAGATATTTCGTGAGACATGTGTTTCTTTGTTATAATTCACCTTTTGGTAAAGCGCCACTCTAAAATAGCTGGCATATATTGAAGATAAAAGAACGGAAAAAAACGGTAAATGACGAGGAAGGGAAACGAAAAGCAAAATCGAATTTAGCATCAAATCAATGGTTAACTATTCATAATCGAAAAAAATTGTCCCTCAACAATGCCAGACTTTAAAGAATCCAGTCAGGGATGGGGGTGGATATTTGTGTTATTTTCAGTTGGAAAAGAACATAGAAATATGATCTTTCAAATAATACTATGAATCTTCCTCCTGACTAGATTCTTTTACTCCTGATATTGTTGAGGGACGTTTTTCTCTGAATACGACCAGTTGACCATACAAGATAGTAAGTAGAGCGTTTTAAAGTGGCTACTGCGTGCAACCGGAATGTGATTTGATGCAAAATTCGATATTGCTTTTCATTTCCCATCTTTGTCATTTGCCGGTAGTTCCTTTCTTTCAATTTCTATGGGTTCTACTCATTTTAGAGCGATGCCAATATATTTCAAGAATCTCCATATTCTAGAAATACTTTTGCTACTGTTCCCCGATTTAAAAAAAATGAATCTAGAGCACTTAGCGTAGGAACGATAGATTACTCCATTTATTTGACCCAAAACAATCATTCCTTGGCTAAGTGCAGTTAATAATCTCTTCGCACACTATGGCGGTCACGGCTAAATTAGGTCTTTACATATTAAACTACATATATGTCATCAGTCTGAAACCATTTCTATAAAATGATTCGTGAATTACTAAATTTTATCATTTTTTAAATATCTTTGAATATCACTTGAGTTTGTTATGACAGTCAGCGGGTATTTCACGACATAGATACAGATGAGACTCTCTCATCTAAGCCTCTGGTCTTAAATGATTCCACTTATAAAGAATCATGTGTAGACTGGTGTCGTTTTCTATGGAAACGGCGCTGTTACTTTCTTCAGATTCTATAGGGTAAACTTTCTGCAGCGATAGACTAGCCCACTCACAAAATATAGGTAAATATTTTCAGGAAATATTAACATTCTTTTAGACACGACACTTGTCAGAATGAAAAGATAGTGCTTTGCTATCGATATGAAATAGATGTCCTGTTAATAATATCAATACATTGTAAAATCGATCACTGGTTTTTACAGATTTATTCGCTTGAGATATTTCGCGAACGAAATCTGACATTTTTTTGAGGTGGGGTTAGAAAAAGATTACTCTAAACGAACAAACGGATATATACGTTTATAAGTGAATAATAAAAATGCATAGAAATTTTTAAAAAATCATGTATCCGCTTATTCTTAATTTAAATAATTCTTAACTACACCTCATATTTGTTAATTATTAACTATGGCTCATCTTTATTAATTACTTTCAGCCATAGTCACCTGGTCGATTAGAAACTAGCGTTCAGTTAGAATGGAGCAAAAACAGCATCATGTTTACATGTAACAGAGTTTATCTTCTTCAATTACTTTAAAGTAATTTCATTAAAAAAAAAACATTTTGAATTAATGCAGTTAATGAGAAGCGGTCTGTATTCAATCAAAGGTATCCGAGGACATGAAGCGGTAAAACAGGAAACATGAAAACCCACTTCAGACCACAATTATTTTGGACTTTTTGAAATTCAATTTGTCACCCAGGGATGTAAAAGAGGATACATTTATAAAGCAATTGTTAATTTTGATGAAAATTGGTTGAAAGATCAACAAAAATAAGAGAGAAACCAGTAAAAATCATATTTACGCGGGTTT